AAAAAAAAAAAAAAAAAAAAAGAGAGAGAGAGTTTAAAAAGAAAAAAGAGAGTGGAGATGAAAGCAGCAGAGAAGCCAGACAAGCTTTTCTTATATTTATATTGTCTCAGCTAACTCAACTTTATTAATTACAATTTCTTCATTTTTTGTACCTTCACACTCGCTCTTTTCTTCCTTATTTGTTTCTGCATTCGGTATCTTTTACAGACACTATCGATTTATGCACTTTAACCTTACATAGTTTCTAGCATTCATTTATTTTCATGAGCTACATTGAACTTCAGTAAAAATTTAGTGTCACATCTTTTATGTCTTGGATCTAAACATAGTAAAGAAGAATAAAAGGGAAGGGGTAAAGGGGCGTATCACCGCAGTGAATAAAGATATTTCTCAAGTGAGGACCAGTGATCAAGGGATGAAATGTGTTTTGCCACTTCCCTCTCTTTTTCTTTGTTTGCATATCGGAGTTCCCTGTTGGCGGATCAAATTAAGAAAATGACATGCTTCTCTTGAATCTACTTTTCCCAGCAACCATTCAAAAAACGTGTTTTGATTTTATAAAAGGATTTTATATTTCCAAAAATAGATATTCTTTATTTTATTGGCCTCTTTCAATCAATGGTACATCAGGTTTCTTATTTTACGAGGATAAACTAAAGCACAGGTTTGAGTAGCTCATGTGCCGCACTCTTTAAAATCTTTATTAACAGAAAAAGTAAGAAAGAAAGAGTATTATGTCAAATGGAACATATGATATCGACTATACATTGATAGGCTTCATCGGGTTCATTGCGTGTCTGAATGAAATATTAAAAATACCCGAGCCAAAAGGGGCCTGTGGCCTTACATTCAATGTCCCTTTCTATTAGATGCGCAGCCTCATTGGAAGCAACCAGTGTAATCTTTGTTCTGCTCAGCAGTATCCATTTCTGAGCTTGAGCAAACTCTACTGTGATTTATTGACTATATTTTCTTTTTTTTCTTTCACATATTTCACAGTGTGTTTTTTGATCCATTACGTTTAAAAAATTTTTTTAAGAGGTCGGTCAGGAAAATGCACAAAATGCACATAGGTGTGGTATCACGTGAGACAATGGCAATACAAAGCTGCATTCTTGATTCTGAAAAGCATAATAGCTGGGTATAAACTTTCTCTTTCTCTCTATACTTGTCAAGTTTTGGTGTGCATGGAGTGTTAACTATTTTGTCTATTACTTTGTTTACACTGGTCTCACTCAAGAAGATAAAGATCAATATTTTTATCTCATTTATTTTATATAGTAATATGTTGTCAAATTCAAATAAATAAATAAAAAGATTGATAACAAACAAGATCACCACTTGTGATGTGTTCAACATTCCATGTATTGGCGTTTTCGTGATACAACTACTTTAACATTTCGCGTATACTTGTCCATTTGTTTTAAGATAACTAATACGTAACGTTCGGACAGATTGTTGCTTTTAACTAGTAGTGTGTCCAAACCACAGCTAGTGGCTACTGCCTTGCATACGTATTCTGCTGATCTAGTAACAGTACCATCAGGAATACATGTTGTTGTTGTCATTTTGAGCTTTAGCAATGGTTTGTCATATCATCTTACGACCTACGATCAGATCCTGAAATGTGTACACTAGAAATAAGCAATAAGGAAGATATACAAAATGATCAACCATTACTCGACAAAGATAAATTGGACAAAATGGAAATTGGAGACTTGCCACAAGAAATGCGAAGGAAGCTACGAGCCTTACTCTGTAGATATGAACACATCTTTGATTGGAACAATGATACTATTGGACATACTGAACTCATAAAGCACAAGATAATCATTGACAAAGATGCTATGCCTATCAGGCACAGACCATATAGAATAAGTCCAATAGAAGCGGACTACCTCAAGAAGGAATTGGACAAATACTGTAAGTTAGGAATAATCACACCCTCAAATAGTCCATGGGCAGCACCAATTATATTAGTAAAGAAGAAGAATGGAGAATATCGCATGGTGGTTAACTACAGAAAGATGAATGCCATAACAAAGAAGGATGCATACTCACTACCAAGAATAGACGATTTACTTGACGCATTAGGAAAAGCCAAAGTATTTTCGGCCCTAGATATGCGAGCTGGTTTTCACCAAGTACCTCTAGAAGAGTCAAGTAAAGAACTCACAGCGTTCACTACAAAATATGGCACATACCACTACAATATGTTACCAATGGGACTTGTAAATTCTCCAGCCACGTTTCAAAGATTGATTGACTTATGCTTCAGACCATTAATCAACAAATGCTTAGTAGCTTACATTGATGATCTCAACGTATATTCAAATAACGAACAAGAACATTTACAGCATTTAGAACAAGTGTTTCAATGCATAGAAATCGCAAATCTCAAACTCAATCCAGAGAAATGTCACTTCTTTAAAGATCATCTGAAATTTCTTGGATACATTGTTACTAAAGATGGAATACATACTGACCCAGAGAAGATCAAGAAGATAGTCGATTATCCACGACCAACAACAACTACTCAAGTTAGATCATTCTTAGGGATCGCCTCATATTATCGACGCTTTATACAAGGCTTTGCCGCTATTGCTAGACCGCTCCATGATCAAATGAAAACTAAAAAGAAGGCTCCATGGACTACAGCTACAACCGAGTCTTTTGAGAAACTTAAGGAACGATTGACTACAGCCCCAGTATTAGCAAGGCCTGATTTTAATAAGGAATTTATCTTAGTGACCGATGCATCAAAGTTAGGACTAGGCTGTGTACTAACTCAACTGGATGAAGACGGTAAAGAGCACCCGATTGTATTTGCAAGTAGAGGACTTAAATCCAACGAAATGAACTACGCACCAACCAAATTGGAATGTTTGGCCGTTATATGGGCAGTCAAGTTATTCAGACCTTACCTACTCGGAAAAAAGTTTATGATTATAACAGATCATTCAGCATTAACGGGATTACTCAAAGCACCAAATCCAACTGGAATCATCGCACGATGGATTGTCACATTATCCGAATACGAATTTGATATTAAATATCGACCTGGACGTGTGAATAAAAGTGCAGACTTTTTATCAAGACTTGGATATTAAACAACATATTAGAACATATCAACATTTTATTATATACTTATCAACACACTTATATATAAATTACTCACTACATGGAGGACGGGAGGGTAGATGATACATAACACTACAAAAATCCAAAAAACAGCACAAAACACCATAAAATACAAAAATACTACATGAAGGATGGGAGGGTAGTTGAATCACAAGTCAAAAAAAAAAGAGAGGAGGAGGTCGGCCCAGCAACATAATATTCTTAGTACTACAATATTCAGTAATAGAGTGTTCCCCATATTCTCAATACATTTGGGACAACCATGAAACAGTACTCACAATTGACAATTATTAAAATTTAATTTTGGAAATGCCGCAATATTAAAAATTAGTTAACTACGAAAGAAGATCACATTACAATAGAACTTAGGGCCCTGAAACGACAAACAAAACTACCTAACACTGTACAACATCTCAATAAGCCAACGTCGTAACACAGTTAAATTAAAATGGAACAAGATCAGATAGACGCATTGAAGCAATATTTACAAGACTTGAAACTGCCTGTAGGCATTACAAAGAAACAAGCCAAATATTTACAAAAAGACGCACCCAAGTTCACCATCTATAAAGATATACTCTATCGATACAACACTGAAAATAGTATCATACGAAAAGTTTTAAGCAAGAAAGAAGCAGAGGAGATTATGTACTCATTTCATCAACACCCACTTGGAGGACGCTTGGCCTATAATAACACTTTACACAAGATAGCATCACGCTATTACTGGGATAACATGACTAAAGATATCATGGAATATATGAAGAAATGTCACAGATGCCAGAAGTATGGGAAGAAATCAATGAATGAAGAATTATATCCTGTAGCAGTATCTATGAAGCCTTTTGATCGAGTAGCCTTAGATGTCAAGCATGTGCAAGCGTCCAGGACGGGCTATAGATACATTATTGCAGGTATCGATTACACTACCAAATATGTTGAAGCCAGACCTATCCGTTTTCAAACTGCCTCCAAGATTGCCATATTTCTGTACGAAGAGATCATATGTAGACATGGATGTCCCACTATTATAGTTTCCAACAATGGCAAGCCTTTCCTTAGCAAGCTACTACAACAAGTTTGCAAGACGTATTCAATTATTCACAAGACAACTACACCTTACAATCCACAAAGTAATGGGTTAATAGAAAGATTCAACAGAACATTAGGATAAATATTACAGAAACGAAGCAAGGAAGAAAAAGAAGACTGGGATGCGTATCTACCAGCTGCACTCTTTGCATATCGAACAATTAAACAAGCATCAACTCAGCAAACGCCATTTTTCTTATTATACGGTTACGAACCAAAGACACCATTTGACTTAGATTATCACATTTACGAACGAAACTCACCTAAATTCGACGCCATTCTCAGACATCGGACATCCCATCAAATACATAATCTCAACAAAATAAGAGAATCAGCAATACAAAATATCAACAGAGCACAACAGTCTCAAAAGAAGCAAATCGAGAACAAGGTTTTAGGCGAACGCAAAGAACTCAAGCCTCCATTCAGATTAGGAGAATTGGTTCTCATCTACAGAGACTATCTATCCACATCTTGGTCGGCAAAATTGCAAGATAGATGGGAAGGACCTTACGTTGTACAGCACATATTAGGCAAAGGCACGTATCACATCAAAAGTATGAATCCGGATGACACCAGATTAAGGAGGATACATGGAAATAGAATGAAACCCTACTTACTTCCCAAGGTACATTGGTGTCAAGAAAACCAGCAACAAGTCACAGCCAAATTTGATGAAGAAACAAACAATCTGTTTCAATGATCTTACAGTTCACACACCCAATCACACAAATACACATCCCAAAAATATATAAAAAGAAAAAAAAAAAATCGAACAATTGCACAATCAAGTTATCAAGAAGCAAAAATGAACCAGGAAAGCAATCAAGCTACTGAAACATTCTCAATGGATTTAGATATCTATCTAGTTGAATTGTACTAGCAACAAGTATATGACGTTGCATTGTCTGCCGTTCTTGACTTCTTGCAAATCACAGAGGCAGGCCACATTAACCCAATTGAAGATGCATATGATGTTGAAGGTATACCTACAACTAGAAGGCAGTTCGTCATCTGGATGCTTGAAGGCCTGAGTATATTCCCCAATGAACAAACGGAAGAACAAGAGCAAGCACGTTATGGACCAAACGAGGATTGGCAGGTGGAAGATGACAAGGATTTCCTCAGAACAATTGAAACCCTTATTCGTCAGCAATACGAAGACTATAAAGCTGCTATGCATGAAATGGCTCGTCTAGAAAGCTTGAGAGAAGAATTGTCAGAAACATTGGCAAGAAATGTCTCACACTGGGCCCATTTTAGGCTTAGGAAGCCAGCCAAGAATTCGCAAGATGTCTCTTTATACCTTGCCGCTAAGCAAACGCTCTTACGAACCATTATGCCCGGATATGGTACCTTTCGTTCGTTATCTGCTAAAATCAAGTCAATTGACACTTGGGAAAGAATCGTGGTCGATTCACCTGTTGCTGCGGGAACCTGTAACGCAAAAGATGCCGATAAGGGTAACTCTGTGGAACTGAATCCTGACAACTTTAGTTGATAAATTAACTAAAGTTAATTTAACAACTAAGGTTAACTTATCAACAACCGTTGATTTCAAGAAAAGGAAAGCCAACAAAAATCAAAAAAAAAAGTATATAAACCCCTCTCTCAAAAAAAAAAAAAAACAAGCAGTTCACCTTATCTTCTTATTTTATCATATACAATAAACAGGCAGCCTTTTTGGTTATAAAAGTTCCTGATCTCTTCTTTTTATCTTTTATTTTACTTTATACTTCACAGTTTGATCAACTTTAAAAGATCTGGTGGTCACTTCAAACACCTAAGCCTATAAAATCTCAAGAAAACTCTCTATATTAACAACAACCCTTATAACTCCACATAAGAATAACAGTAGACCAGGACAAAGTTGGCCAAAAAGGCAGCAGGAACTTTCGAACGACAGTTCGAATATCTTTAAGCTGTTGTTCAGGTGCAGGAATGACATGCAGGAGATGCTACAGTTGGCTACTAGACCTGCGCCCAGTATGGACAGATGTCAATACTTTAACAGATGAACATGTCGAGCTATTTTCAATTTGACAGTAATGATTAAATGGGCGTTCAGCTGGTGCGGAGAAGGATAAAGCGGGTAATTCAAATATCGCACAGCATTAGTACTGGAAGAGCCATGTCAGTCAAAGGTCAAGCTAAATAGTAATGATGAGAGTGTATCACCCTGACGCAACCCATGTAATTGAGGGATAGGATGAAAGTTCTTTATTAATGACAAACCTTTTTGAATGAAAATAGAACAATGGCCTAGAACAGAGGTTGTCAATGCGTGTGTCTTTGACTTTCAATGTTTAAAAAGACGACCTTATCCAAAGTAAGCTTAGTGTAAAAATAAAATGTTTTCATTCATCCAACAAATGAAATAAGCAAGATCGTCCATCTGACACTGTCAATGCTATGTAGTAGAGTGATTGTTACACTTGTGTAAAGTAAATGTTTGCCCTTACTATTACTCTTTTAATTGTTAAGTCCGTCTATTTGCCCCCTTCCCCTCTCTTTGCCCTACATCAGTTCTGTTCACACACAGAAAAATATCCTTTATTAAATTATAAAGAAGCAGAAAAAGATAATATATATATATGAGAATTTTAATATATGCAAAGAGGAACGAGAAGGGAAAGAGAGGGAAAGGGGGAAGGGGATAATTATTTACAATAAACAAAAGATAATATAAAAGAGAATTCAAGTTACTTCATTACATAATAAAGATTTTCGTCTGTTCTCACCACGTATAAACACATCCGTGCGTCTCGGTAAAAATCCTCTGGGCTTCAGAGGACTTGATAGCTTTCTAGCTCTCATCATATTTAATTCTGCCGAGATCATTCTCAAATGATCAGGGTTTGATCGGGTATCTCTTGTATATGTATTCGTCTCTGGATTAAATCTAGGCTGTGTCGTTGCCTCTGATCTTCTCTTACGCATACGAGGTTTAGGTGGTGGAAGTGGCATCGGAATCAATTGTTTGGCCTGGCGAGGGGAGGTAGACAGGACGAGCGATCGACGTAGTGTTTCTATCCAACTGCTGGATTCGTCTTGATGTGGTGGGGATGATGACATGGCATAGGATTTGGTTGTCGATGTAGACGGCCTGACCGATTTGGAAAACGACGGGATAGATCTTTGTTTTGTCAGCGTTTTAGGTCGTTGCTGTTCATCTGGTATATCATACTCGATCTCATCATCTTCTTCTTCATCTTCATCGTCCTCTTCTTCTACTTCTTCCATATGAAGAAGATCTATCTCTGATGATGGCCTACTGTCATATATAGGAAGTTCTTCATTTTGTGCGCTTAATGAAGGTGGTGGCATATGTAAAGGTAACACCAGGAAATCAGTTGAGAGGAAATTACGAAAGGGAGAGGATGGTTTCTATAAAAGATTAGAAACAGATACAAAAAAATCATATGTGTGCTTACCAAATCCTCTTCGTCAGGTATACTTTCTTTACTGTCTACTGCAAGCCAATTCTCAACATAGGATAATCGTCGTATTGCTGTTTCTTTGGGCCTTTTTTTCTTTTGCTTTCGTTTTAGGGGTGGAATAGCCCCATATGGTTCAGGCGCCTGTGCAGCTAATTGCTTAATCATGTCCTTGTAAGATTGCTCATTATCCGTATTTTTATTATTAGATGTGGGTATCGAAACAGGATCGGAACGAGTGAAGGAGGATAGTGTAACTGACATTACTGCAACATGTAAGATTTGTGTGTGTGTGTTTCTATTGATAAAAATGGTTATTTTATAATAATAAGAAAAAAAAAAAAAGAAGAAAGAGGACAGTGAGAGAGAGAGAAAGGGAAAGCATTTTGAAAAAGGGAAATTGAATGACCGATCAGCCAATTCTAAGTTAAACCAATCAATGTGAGTTCATGATTTTATCACTTCTTTATAGACAAAGAGAAGGAACGAAACAAACGAGAAAGAGACAGAGGTTACTTATAGGATTATCGTCATTTTAACTTGTTTATTTCTCACTTTACTCTTCTTTATGTTTTCGTGCTATCAAAGAAAAAACGGGTGAGCATATATTATGTTGTCATGCAACATGAGTATTATTCTAAAGAGAAAAAGAGAACAAAAGACAGGTATACTGTATACATCTATTTTTTCCTTGGTTGGTAGGAAATACATTGCCATGTAACGGTGGTTTATATGTGCATGATGCGATGCTTATGTGAGTGTGAATGTGTGAGTGTGGGTGGCGTGATGCCATGTCAATAAATATCAAGTCTATTTGCCCTTTTTTCTTTCTTTTTTTTTTTTTTTCTCACACAAGATGTTTGACATTTACATGATCCAAAAGCAAACAGGTAGATCAAGATAGAAAGAGGGGGATAATAAGCATGTAGCTTCCCTTTCCTCATATGCAATGATAGATGTCTCGGACTACATAAGGACGCATCCTAGCGAGTTCTTGAACCCTATACGTGAAGTAAGAATAATTATTATTAGTAGATGTATTCATCTGAGTTATTGCAGGGGCATGATAGCACTATCTGCTGGTCAGATGTACTACGACTAGATCGATCTATGTTTATGAAAGGATGGCGACCGAGGGATGAACAATATGCCACGCTATACGATGAACTATTGCATCACTATTTCAGTGATTCATTCAAATTACAAAAAGTGATCGAACAGTGTGATCGGCCTCTGCTATGGCTTCCATATACCTGGTTTCGATCGATCAAGGCCTTACCATCGGGTATCCGAGGACAGATCTATTTGGCACACTGTCGATTACCATGGAAATGCTGTAAGATCAACATGGCTATACGAGCAGTCAATGACATCACACAACAAGTAAGAAATATATTTTCCCCGTTTCGTGCATTTATTTACTTGTTTATTTCTAGTGTCTGAAACACGCTGTTGGTATCACGGCAATTCCATCGAAATACAAGAAAGACTACCTTATCGGACTCACCTCAATTGCCGCAGATGCAAGTCTAGAACAACTGATACCCCAAGTCGATCAATGGAGCTTCCATAAAATATATCGCACTGCGTTCATGACAGCCTCAGTCGTCCGAGATTTACACAAGACTGATAAAGTACACCCTAATCTTCAACCAAAAAATATTTTGATCAAAGGAACTCAGTTCAGTCTCGTCGACACACAACCGTTAGGTAAGACACTTTATGGCAGATACCCTTACTTTGCTCCCGAGATGCGAGTTGACCAGGCATCAAACGTGTATGCTCTAGGTATCATTCTCTGGCAACTTGTCTCGGGTGTCATCTTTCCTACCTCAGTCGCTGTCTGTCCTGAAGTTTACAAAATGGAGCCACTCAAGACTGTGGATGGGTCTTATCAGACCATTTTCACTCAATGTCTTGCCAAAGATCCTCGTCTTCGCCCGACCGCCCAGCAGGTCTGTGACTCACTCATCGCTCTACTCCTTCAACACATGTCTATCTCAAGGCACCTCTGGGAGCATGGTGAAGAGGTTCGTCAGCGACAGGCACGCATTGTCAAGTATCTCCTCCATTGTCATCAAAATGTTGCCATACCTGCCATGAACGACCTAATGCAAGGTGCAAGCTTAAAGAAGCGCATGATGCTCCGTATTACGGCTTCAGTAGGTTCATATTATGATCAAAAAAGTAATTGTGGAATCCTGGATTTACCAGAAATTGGTATGGAAAATGTGTATTTATGTACATAATAAATATATTCTTAAGCCAATCTTGGCTTCTTCATTTGTCTTGACGCATGAAGATCCTCCTTGGCAGGTGCTTTGGCAGACTTGATGTCATTATCTTCGTGTGTGATTCGGCGTAGAGGATATTCTATATTTTGATGAGCCAGGACACTGCCAGATATATGAGTACATGTATTTATAAAATCAGGTTATTCTTACTTCATGATTGGCTTTGGATCTTCTTGAAAATAAGGGTGATTTAACGCCTTTTCTGCAGTGATTCGTTTGGCTGGATCATATTCTAGTAACGCAGATAATAAGTTGAAAGCTGATTCACTTTTAGGACACACCATCATTTGGTATACTTGCTTCAGGTTATTAGGACATCTAATAGAAGTTAGTAAGAAAAGCATACAAAGATTGCTAAGGCTTACTGAGGAAATGATGCCAAATGTGGATAATCCGGCAATTGATCTATTGATGGCCATCTTTCCTCTATAAAAACTAAGTATAACCCTCCAACTTATTTTCCTTTTTGGAACTTACTTGTTGGTGTTCCCATGACTTCAATTATTTTAGTTAGTTGACTTCGTTGAAACGGTACACTCTTTTTATTGTCAATCTTGGCTTCTTCTCCTTTGAATATCGGCTTCAAAGCAAGCAATTCACCAAAGATACATCCTACTGCCCACATATCCACTGCTTTTGTATAATGTCTTGCTCCAAACAGCAATTCTGGTGCACGATACCATATTGTCACCACAACCTTATCGCCATTAAAAAGAGGCGCTAAGGGTTTATTAAATAACCTTGCCAGACCCAAATCAGCCGTCTTGACGACACCATCGCTTGTCAACAGGACTACACGATTGTTAATTTTTTTGTTTGGTTTCATAATAACATGCTTACCGTTGGCAGGCTTTAGATCTCTATGGAGCACCCAATTTGCATGAAGATAGGCTACACCGTTAATAAGCTGCCATAGAAGCGATTTGACGACTATTTCAGGAATAGGTTTCTTTTGTGCATGCAAGTGATGATGAATAATTTGCTATTTATAATATAGAGTTGGCCATTGTCCATATCTTTCTTTTCTTTTTTCTCTTTAAACTAACCAAAAAGTCATGTTCTGCATATTCAAAGACCATAAATATCGCTTTATCTTCTAATAACACTTCTTCTAATGCCACAACATTCTCATGCCTTAGTTCTCGACACAACTAATGAAAATGAGTTGAAAGGATATAAAGTGTGTGTGAGTGTGCCTTACAGCAATTTCTCGACATGCTGACTGAGATATTCCGACGTAATGATGAGTATCTCCTTCTCTATCCGGTTTAAATTTCTTGATGGCAAATTCTCGAGGATCGTCTCTATAGCAACCAATAAAAAGTATAGATCAATTACAATTCTCTCTCTCTCTTTTAATTAATTCAACTTTACTTGTTTCTTGATCTTGCCTTGTACACTCGACCATAAGTACCAGAGCTGATGAAACCAATAATTTCATACTTGTCTAATACTTTAGGGCGTCTTGCATCTTTTCTTTTCTTGTAATCTATCATGGACATGTTGAATAAAAAGTGAGAAAAAGGGAAAGGAAAGAATTTAAAGCCCAGAATTATAAATTCATGCCCTGAAAATAAAAAGGTGTGCTTTTTTCACACAGTTCCCATGTTTGTTAATGTGCTAAAACGATCAATACCCATCTTGATCAAGAGACAGCTCCCACAATATTTGGTCATTGTGCGGAACAAGCGACTTTATATGACACCATTATCAAAATATACGACAAGACAACAGTCATGTCAATTCAGTACTGCTATCTATAAACCTTGTAAAAAAGTAAAACGTCAATGTATATAAACAAAAAAAAAAAAAGCGAGTTAGTTTTAGAATATGAAAGAACTTCAGTATTAACCCTCATCTTTAAAGACATTTCAAAAGTTACTGATTGCCAACCGAGGAGAAATTGCCTGTCGTATTATCAAAACAGCAAAAAAGATGGGTATCAAAACAGTCGCTATTTACACAGACCTCGATGCCAACGCGCTTCACGTTCAGATGGCAGATGAATCGGTTCATGTGGGTCAATCGTATCTGTCCATTCCTGCCGTTCTTCGTGCGATCGAGCAGACAGGTGCCGAGGCTGTGCATCCAGGGTATGGCTTTTTGAGCGAAAACCCAATGTTTGTAAAGCAACTAGAAGAGCGTGGTATTATCTTTGTGGGACCAAAGGCATCTGCAATTGCGGCAATGGGGGATAAGATACAGAGCAAGTTGATTGCTAAGGCAAGCGGAGTGAATTGCATACCAGGCTATGATGGAGAGATTAAGGATGTAGAAGAAGCGGTGAGCATGGCAGAGACGATTGGATATCCGGTGATGATTAAGGCAAGCGCCGGAGGAGGCGGTAAAGGCATGAGAATAGCATGGTAAGATTCCCTCTTCCCTTTTGAGAATATATTTCGAAATGTTGAATATTTTTCTCTCTCTCAGGAATCCAGATGAATTGAGAGATGGCTTCAAATTGGCTAAACAAGAATCAAAGTCATCCTTTGACGATGACCGTATGTTGATTGAGAAATACATTGATCATCCACGGCATATCGAAGTACAGGTCTTGGGTGATAATTATGGCAACGTGGTCTACTTGCCAGAACGAGAATGTTCGATTCAAAGAAGAAACCAAAAGGTGATTGAGGAATCACCTAGTGTTCATCTTGATCCTGAGACACGAAGACGTATGGGAGAACAGGCAGTGGCACTTGCTAAACATGTAGGGTACAATTCAGCGGGTACGGTTGAGTTCTTGGTGGACATGGACAAGAACTTTTATTTTCTCGAAATGAACACACGGTTGCAGGTAGAACATCCAATCACAGAGTATGTGACCCACTTGGATCTGGTCGAGCACATGCTTTATTCTGCTGCTAATCATCCACTGAATCTGCGGCAAGACGATATCGTACTATCTGGTTGGGCATTTGAATCAAGAGTCTATGCTGAGGATCCGACGAACTATCTGCCCTCGGTGGGACGACTGCTTACCTATCGAGAGCCCCAGATGGATCAAGTGAGATGTGACTCTGGGTTTATCGAAGGATCTGAGATGCATCTTGACTATGATCCACTGATCTGTAAACTTGCGACGTATGGCAAGACAAGACAAGAGGCTCTCCAACGTATGCTTCAAGCCTTGGATGGATACGTCATCAAGGGCGTAACACACAACATTCCTCTGCTCAGAGGCGTCTTTTCTCATCCAAGGTTTCAAGACGGGAAGAAAATCACGACACATTTTCTATCAGAGGAGTATCCGAATGGGTTCAGACCAGAATGGTTAAATAAAACATCAATCAACCACATTGCTGCTCTGACGAGCGCAATGTGGTTCAAGAAAGAGTTGAGTTACTGGCGCGGCCCAAACAAGAAAACGGTAGAGTCCATGTGGGTAGAAATAGAGGACGAAGATAGCAATCGAGATAAAAGACGCGTTGAAATTGAACACAAGGGAAATGACCTGTTCGTGTCCAAGACAGAGAACCAATCATTTGAGTTTAGCCTAAGGTGGCCATTGGATAGTCTATTAGCTCATTCATGCATTGACCATCAAGAGGTAGTTATTCAATACTTGGATAAACTAAGGATGGGATTCAGAATACAGTATAGAGGCAACAAGGTAATATAAATTTTATATACACATATATATCATAATGACATTATGTATATCATAGTACAGGATCAACATTTATAGTCCAGAACAAGAAAAGATATTGAAATATATGGAAAAGAAAGAAAAGACGAAAATAGAAAACAAGAGGATGAAGTCTCCTATGGCTGGTAAGATTGTATCTATATCTATTAAAGAAGGTGAACAAGTAAAGGAAGGAAACGAGATGGTCATTGTGGAAGCAATGAAGATGCAAAATAGTCTAAGAACGCCACAGACGGGTGTTGTTAAAAAAATTCATGTACAACCAGGAAACACAGTTAAATCAGGTCAAATTCTGATTGAGTTTGAATAAACGCATTTCTTTTTTTTTTTTTTTTTCTTTTTCTTTTTCTTTATATATTGTTAGAATGAAGTTTGGACATACTTTGAGAACTTCACTGAATCCAGAATGGACATTTCATTATATTGGTAAATAAACATCAAAGTCATGTAATATATGTATTGACATATACAATAGCCTATGATGATCTAAAGACCATCTTGAAAAAGGGAGCAGTAGGTGAAGTATGGACAGAAGAGAGTGAAAGCAAATTTGTAGAATTACTCGAGAAAGAGTTGGATAAGGTCTATAGCTTTCAACGTGTCAAGTTGGAAGAGATCAATCGACGTATCGAACTCGAGTCGAGAGAAGTAGATGAACTATGTCAAAAGGAGAATCCAGAAGAAGATGAATTCACTGCATCAGAAATTGAGTTAGGACATATTATAGCTGATGTTCATGACTTGGCCAAGTTTACTAGATTAAACTATACTGGCTTTTTGAAGATTATAAAGAAGCATGATGTAAGCCAATCATTTCACGCACGTGGTATAGTTATTCACGCTCAGCATTCAATAGAAAGTGACAGGATGGCCATTAAAGCCAATGTTTGGCGTCAGACTGAATGCGAAACCATTTTATAAAGAAAATTATGACGCATTGATCATTCGTATCTCTTCACTCTATGATCGAGTGAGGACAAGAGGTAAAGAAAGAGGAGGCGATTCAGCTGCTGGTGGTAAACAAGCAGCCTTTGTGAGAAATACAACTAAATATTGGTAAGTAAAAAAAAAAAAGAGACTTGTTTTTACCATTGGCTAATTTATCAAATGCAGGGTCCATCCTGATAACATCACTGAACTCAAATTGATCATTTTAAAGCATTTACCCGTCTTGGTCTTTAATCCCAACAAGGAATTTCAAACCCAAGATTCAGCGATTACAAGCGTCTATTATGATAATGATGACTTTGATCTTTATATGGGAAGATTAGAAAAGACAGAGGGTGCTGAAGCCATTCGTATGCGTTGGTATGGTGGCATGGATTCAAATACCATCTTTGTGGAACGAAAAACACATCATGAAGATTGGACTGGTGAAAAGTCCGTCAAAGCACGTTTTCCAATCAAAGAAAAGTATTTGAATGCCTTCCTTAAGGGTGAATATACAACTGATGAACTATTCTTCAAGATGAAAGGGCGTAAATCAGAAAAGGAAATTCAAGAATTAGAACAATTAGCTCAAGAAGTTCAATATACTGTCCTAACCAAGAGACTTCATCCCATGATGCGTACATTCTATAACCGTACTGCCTTTCAATTACCAGGCGATGCTCGTGTCAGAATCAGTTTGGATACTGAGCTGTCCTTGATCAGAGAAGACAACTATGGTAGACAGAGATCGGGTAACAATTGGCGCCGTATGGACATTGGCGTAGATTATCCATTCAAACAGTTGCCTGATTCTGACATCTGTCGATTCCCTTATGCTGTTCTCGAAGTCAAATTACAGACACATGTAGGACAAGAACCACCTCAATGGGTCACTGAACTTGTCAATTCTCACCTTGTCGAATCTGTCCCCAAATTCTCAAAGTTTATTCATGGTTGTGCTACCTTACTAGAAGACAGGATCAACGTGTTACCCTTTTGGTTACCTCAGATGGACGTTGACATCAGAAAGCCACGTAGCAAAGTCTTTGGTTTATCTCGTCCAGAAGCTAATGGAAGTGGATCTGCATCCAATAGCGATAATGAAAATCATCATGATGTTCATACAGATGAGCATGTTCAAACTGTCATGGCTGAAGCAACAGAATCAACACCACTCATATCAAGAAACAACGCATCCTCTGACAGCAATAAGCAGCTATCACCTGCTGGACTCAGCAAATTGTTTAATAAATCAAAGACTATCTTTCTCAGAAAGAAGAACAACCCATCTATTCCCACTGGTCGTACACGCCCTATTCCAACCAAGGCTCCTCCTGCCAAGACTTTCTTTGCCAACGAACGTACCTTCCTCCACTGGCTCAAGTTTACCCTCTTACTCGGTGGTCTTGCCATCGGTCTACTCAATTTTTCTGATAAGGTAGGTCGTATGTCAGCTATCATCTTTACGATCGTGTCCATGTCTGTGATGATCTATGCACTCTATACATATCATGAACGTGCCAATCGTGTCGAAAGAAACGAGTATGGTGATTTCTCAGACAAGTATGGCCCTGCGGTATTAACCATCTTTTTGGTGGCGGCTGTTTGTATCAACATGGGTCTTCGAATGACGCTCGACGGGCTGGATTAGAGAGAGAGATGTGTCTTTATTAGCATGTACTTTATAGTCTTTTTTTTCATTCATCATTGCTCATGTGATTACTTCTTTTTTTGCAAATAATAAAACATTGTTTATTTATCAACTATTTCAAATGGATCAGAATTAATGGAATCCGTAGAAGGTGGTCGTGGTAAAGAGTCCAGAGGATCATTTGGATGTTCTTTTACTATCGCAGGGCGTGGTGCTGGTAGAGAAGGAGACTCAGGTTCATTTGATAGTTCCACTACTTTAGCCTTTGCCTGTTTTTGTTCTTGTACTTGGTTAATTGACTTTTCCAAACGACTTATCTTATCTTGTACACTAGCTAGTCTTGTTCCCACCATATGCTTGAGAGATATATCTATGCTAACAATATTTTGATGGCCTAACTCTTGATTAACCATTGCTTCTTGCAGCATGTGCTTTATTCGAGCGATATCTCGATTAACTATTTCTCTTGCATGAGCTGTTTCTTTGTTAGCTCTCTCTTGGTCAACCACCTGTTTCATATAAGCTATATGCTCTTTCATTGTTTCTTTTATGCAAGTCATTTCTTGGCTGATGGTATCCAATTTAAGTTGCATATGTTGATCGACATGGGATGATTGCTTATTTGGTGCCTGTGAACTGGCCCCACCTTGGGCCTTTTCGTGCTTTTGACTTATCAACTTTATTGCTTCATGAAAGTAAGCAAAGACTAAGAGTGACAAAAGCATGGCCTCTTTTGTTTCACAGTATGTACAAGGAAAGAATAAAAGAAGCAATAGTTCAACTAAGCCAATCTTCATTATAGAGCGAATTGATGAAAAAGAGAGAGAGAAAAGAGGACTCGAGCTCATTCTGATGGTATTTGTAGTTACTGATAAATACACTTTATTCACAAATTACTCGCACATTGATAAAAAATGATAATTTCAGATAGCAAATAAAAATAAAAGAGAGCCCACCAGAAGCAAAAGAATGGACAAAGTAATGGTTAGTAAATCAGTTATTAAATTGACATTAAATACTTACATTATAAAGAAGGGGGTTTATAAGAGAAAAAAAGAGAAGCAAGAAAAGTGTGTTAACTTATAAAGAGATTATTAATGTCTACACGAAGTGCATTAAATAGGGCTGGCAATAATCAACCTGAAGAAAGAAGAGAAAAGAGAAGAGCAAAGAAGAGAGTGGAAAGGGTAAGAAACAAACCATCCCTAGCCAACACCGGGTTAGTTTTGATTATGATTTATAATACTACATATCTTACAAGAGTAAATATATAACATGCCTTAGGACTAGCTGGGAAACAGCTGGTCTCACTCTTTGAAAAGAAATCAAGACCAGACTATTTATATTAAGTCTCTAACAACTTTTTCAATTACGTGTTATTCATCAGTGCTGACTACGTTTATTTTACACTCAAAAATATCAAGCTCATTTTATGTATTATTACATGTTGTCTTTTAGACAATAATGAAGACATAGAAAATCAACTAAAATGAACTGTTATTGATCTTGTAATGTGTGCGAATAATTTATGAAAATACGGGATATATGAAAATTACTATATTTGGTAGTGTAGATGTCAGTCTCTTTAAACTGAATATCATTTTTACTTTAAAAAGGGGGGATTAACTTAATTGTCCCCTCAAGATGCAGCTCTTTGAAAGTGTTCTAGTGGATCAGGAGTTTTTTACTGCAGTAATAGTATGAATAGGTATTTTAGGCGCGTACCTAACCAACTCAGTTTAATATGTGTTGTGTAACTTTTAGTAACAATGTAACATGTGCCATATTACTTTTTGTCTGTGAGCTTCTATTCTATCTCTTTCCTTCCTTCTCTCTCCTCTTTTTCTTTCTTATAAAAATAACTTTCTCCCCTTTTTTTTCTTTCTTCTTTACTCTCCTTTTCCAATAATTCAACAGAAAAATATAATACTTTGTCCTTTCTTCAAAGTTTATTTTTCTCTTTCTTTCTTTTATTCTTGTACATAGACACCCCTTCCATCCCTTTTTTATTATAAAAAGTTTGTTTATAACATGATTGGGTTATTGTTCATCCTTGAGATAATCCTTCATACGACCCTTGCTTCGTATGTATCTCATCCAAATATTAATCTCGATTTACTTGGCATATCAGGATCATACAATGGTATTTCACTTTACACAGACACCAATCAACTCACACAAATACCATCATCTACTTCATCCGTCATCTCATTTTCAAATGACACTCTTTTTCAACTATTGGCATCCTCCAATCTCAATGGAACCATTCATGACAGCTGCATCCTCTACAACTGGATTTATATCGCCGGTAACTTTAGTACTATCAACGGTGTCCATGTCAACCATATTGCAGCATTGGATATCCACACAGGTCAATTGGATACCTTGGCACAAGGATTGGATGGGCCTGTCAGTACAGTCTATTGTGACGCCGAAACAAAGTCGGTCTTCGTAGGCGGATCATTCACAGCACCTGTCAGCACCAATCAGCTCTCTTATTCAGCTTCACTCGCTCAGTTTGGTGGAAGTATCGCCGTTTGGAATGGTAAACGGTGGACGGCTGTTCCTTGGAAAGGAGTCAACGGACCTGTACATACAATCCTTCGATACAAACAGTCTATGCTCTTTGCAGGCTCATTTGATACAACCATGGATGGTCAAACGTCTTACGCTCCAGCCAGTCAAATCATCCCATTACCAAAAACTGTAAATAACAATAAAAACAATTTCTCTTTGTTTTCTTCCATCTGTTTTGTATATACTCACTTTCTTTATCTTTCTCTTTCTTTTAGGGCGCAACTGCTAGCAATTCGGCTTCAACTACAGATGCAGCATCATCCATCGTCTGTGCGGCTTCGACAAATTCAAATGCATGGATACTCAAAGATGGTCAGACAGGAACATGGCAAACAACTTTTGGTTATTATAGCGTCAATCCTTCTCTTGTTCGAATTGCAAATTCAAGATTGACAAATCATCAAACAAAGGAGTTTGGGTAACATATACATTCATACACAAACAATAAAAAAGAGACTAATTCTTTGAACAGTGTTCGACCTATTGACAATGCGACTTACTTTCAAATGGCTTATTTGGATCCTGCTTCAAATACGACAAAAACTTGCACAACCAACTGTGTCCTTTCCAATGACGCCAGTGTGGAATATCAGGACTTTCGTATTTTAAACACAACGATGACAAGTGGTATAGCCATTGATGTCAAATCCTGGTATGGATCAAGTGGTGGTCTAGCTTCTGTTTCTGTATTTCAGTCAGGTAAAGAAAAAATGAAACTTTATAGAGCTGCTTTTTTTTTTTTTTTCTTACGCTTTAATTTTAGAAAACTTCATTTATGCTATTGACACCAGTGCAGAAAATACTCCTTGCGGTAATAACACACTGAAGAGAGTCGAAACCAAGGGTTCTTGGACGAGAGTCAATGACGGAGGCCTTGCTTATTACGCCTCTAACGCAACCAATGACTCGTCCGTCATCTTTTATCCCGGTTTAGCCGAATCAGGCAATTACGACGTTTATATCTATTTACCTCAGTGTTCTGGCACCAGCTGTAATGATAGAGCCGATTTAGATGTTCACATATACACTTCAGCTGGTCAAAATGCAACAGTAACGTACGTAGATGCTAGTTCAAACGCACAGGACGGTTTCTTCCTTTCCTCCGCTTACTTTAATCTTTCTTTGGATTTTCAACCTACCATTGAGATCACCACGGCTCATAATGCGACAAAGACCGGATCGATCATAGCCCATGCGTTTCAATTTGTGAAGAATCCGTCCAGGGGTGCACTATCAAATATCATTCAGTACAATACAACAGCAGAGTTACAATGGGGAGCTCTATCAACAGAACTTGCATCAAACTCAGTCGTGATTGACATAAAGGAATATCAGGGCAGCCTTTACATTGTCGGCAACTTCAAAGGAGCTGATTCATCTAATGGAGTATACAATAATATTGTTCAGTACGATTCAGGTAAACTCAAGGCATTAAAGAGCGGAGGCACGAACGGACCCATCGAATCAATTGCGATCGCTCCACAAACAGGCGAGATCTTTGTTGCTGGAAACTTTAGTGCGCTCGCTTCATCCAATACGACCCAAATTTCAAGTGTAGGACGATACAGTGTAAACCAAGCAGCATGGAATCCGCTAGAAGGAGTAAGAATGCACACTTGTATTCATTTATGCACGAATATAATTGACATTTATGGTTTAGGGTATTCAAGGTGTTGCTCACAAAGTCAGCTTGATAAACGGTCATGTACTTGTGTCGGGAGAAATAGAAAAGATTTCGAGTATGAGTGCCTTTGGCGTTGGATGGTGGAACATTGGAAAAGCAACTTGGGACCACGACATGCCATTCTTATCTGGAACGGTTTACTGCACACTCGAGTATGACAATAAGTACTACTTTTCTGGAAGCATCCATGCTGCACAAAGATACCAGTCCTTTGGATTGTCTCTTTTTAATGCTACTGTCTTGTCACAATTACCATTTTATCCTCTTGATCAGCAGCCGGTTGTCACTGCCGGAGCCGTCATCAACAGCACCATCATCCTCGGTGGTCAGTTCACGCTTCCGGGCAATATAAAAAACATTGCCTTGTACCAAAACTCTAGTTGGCGAGGGGTAGAAGGATCAGACTGGAAGGGTGCCATTTACTCCATGGTGGCACATCAAGATATATTGTACGTCGGCGGTGAATCTTTAGGGCAAGCAGGCAAGGCCTTTGCCGCCTTTGGACTCACCAACGGATCGTTGATGCTTTCCCCAAACATCACGACGAGTGATGGTTCGAATGCGAGCGTGAGTATCGTTCGTTCTGTACCTGCTCAAAATGCAATTATTGTCGGTGGTCACTTTAGTTTGGTCGGTGAACTCGGTTGCTCTACCGTCTGTGCATTAAACACAAGAAATCATCAGTGGTTGCCACTGGGTTCGGGTCTAGCCGGACAGGTGACAGATATCGAATATATCGATGGCAAACTTGTGGCGACGGGCAATATGACTCTGAATAGCTCACCGATTACTATTGCCGAATACGATTTTGAGAGGCAAGTGTGGGGTCCATTTGCGACGGCGAACCTGCCTGGTCCCTCGGTTGCCATGACTTATGACAATGTCACAAAGCACACCTTCATCTCTGGAAAGGACAGTACGAACGGTTCAACCTATCTCAGAGTCTGGAACGGTCAGCAGTTCAATCCGATTGATCAAGGCTTAGGGTCTGGTAGTGTCATATCTAGAATGTACTCACTGCCTGTGAAAAACACGACACAGAACACATTGTTGGCCACAGGACTCATCAACCTCGGTTCATTGGGCAATGTCAGCGCTGCCTTCTTTGATGGTCAGCAGTGGACCCCTTATTTGGTCACATCAAGTGCATCTGCCGATGGATTCCTTAGGAGCTTGTTTTATTTCGATATACCAAGCATACCGTCTACCATCAGACGTAAGTAGAATAAAGCTTTGAACAAACAAGCATATTAATATCTTGTTTATTTTAGGATTCTTGCCTGCTCCGCTTGTCATTCTTGTATCGATTGCTATATCTTTAGGTATCGTTTTCTTCATTGTGCTTGCTACCATGTGCATCATCTTCTTTAAGCGAAAGGCCGAATCCAAGGTAGATCCTCAAAATGCTCCAGAGGCATACTACAGTAAACCACCTCGATCGGCAGATTCGGTGCTTGCAGCACTTAAAGATGAAAACAACAACAATCCCAACTACTCTGCAGAGAAATTAGATACACTTGAACCTGAGGCACAGATTTACAGTATGTCTCGATCTATCAGCACCGATTACCTTCATGAACAACCTCCTACACCTGCCATGATGAAACCAACCGCTCTATCCCCTGCACCACCCAAGGCCCCTTATAACATGAGCACCAACAGTTTTTATCAAGGTCTTACACCTAGTCCACGTCCAGACTCTTTTGTGAGGCCGATGAGTGATATCCGAAGAGACTCACAGCCATCTTCGATGACTGTAAGGGAGATGTCTGAGGTTGACGATGATCGACGAGGCTCCTATAATCCCTTTCGAAGGCCATCCTCTGAATTATTATAAAAACATACACGTGTGATGAAGTTAATGCTATTATATACATACACTTTTAACCTTAATACATAATGCTTTCTTTGTTCATTTTATTAAAATCATATAAAACTACTCCTCTTATATATATACAATGCTATGTTATGCAGTCAATCTAGACATCAAATGCTCTGTATTCTTTCTGATCACATTGTCCAAGACACTGTGAATATGCATACAGCCTTCTTTTGCCAATTCAGTGACACCAGCAAGTTTATCTATTTGAAGTCTGGATTCCATCTATATAAAACAGGGTAAACATGACATGCTTCATCATCTAATTCGCGCGTTTACCTCCACCAAGTTGACTTTTCCAGTTCTTGGTAATATGGCAATGGTTAACTCAGGTGTATCTGAAGATTCCTCTAAGCCATTCAAGTCAAGCACTGGTACTTTATCGATACATCCTGCAGAGCAAGCACAAACGTAGTCCAGCATGGGTATACCTGCATCCACCAGGGCCATCGTGGCTGCGTTGATACAACTTTGTAACATACCTATTTACTAAGGCTTAATAGACCGTCAAGGAGTGTTGTTTATATATATATGCTTTACCTCCATCATTTTGAAATATTTGAAGATAAATGTCAATCTGAGATTTAGGAAACTGAGAAGTAAGAATGACAGGTTCAAATGTTTGACGGATGAATGCTGCCACTTCTAAAGATCGTCTTTATAATGGGTTAGCTCTTTTCTTCTTCTTTTTTTTTTTTTTTTTAATTAAACTTACTTGTCAGCCTTTGATCGCTTCTTTCGTTCACTTGTACTAAAAGGAGCCACGTTGAATTCGACATTGATCACAGCACGATCGGATAATGCCTGTCCTCTATGTCTGACTTCTCTTGGTCCATAAACTGCTGCTAAACATTTGGTGTTTCCTTGCTCAATATAGGCTGATCCATCAGCTTTACTAAAGACAGATGTTTTGGCGGTTATTTTTCGTAATTCATTCGCTCGTCGACCGTCGATACGAAGACCTTCAGGCGTTAATAGTTCTAAACGCGACTTTTGAAGTATAAAGTGAATATTGGGAATCTATAACATGTACTATATCTTTTTTTACCATCAATGAACAAGAGGAAAGAGAGAAGAAATTAAAAAAAATGTTTTGCAGACAAACTTGTCTCTGTGTGACTTAATTCTATGCAGTGTAAAATAAAAGAAAGAGAAAGAAAGAAAGAGAGAACTTGACATGCCACAAGCTCCTTTTGTATGATATTACTACTTGTATATGCATCTGTGTGTATTATACTTAGTAAAAGTGACTGAGAACAATCATGATTAGAAAACCCTGCCTTTAGGTCTGAGATTGGAGTGGTGCCCCGCAATTACACACATTGTTTTTCTTTTTCTTTCTTTTTTTTTCTCTTTACTTTTGACAGACGGAATCAACATGTCTTTACCTTTCAAAGTTTACAACTTTACTTCCAAGAACGCAAAGGCATTACCTCGTGCTGCTATTATTGTAAGCGCAATATGCTGATACATCATAACGCGTCTAATAAGTATATAGGTCTTACAAGAATGGTGGGGAGTTAATGATATGATCAAGCAACATGCTCAAAATATCGCTGACCATACTGGCGCATACACAGTTGTTCCTGATCTTTACAAGGGAAAAGTGGGTGTGAATGCAGAGGTAAGAAAAAGTAAAAAAAAAAAAAGAAAAAAAGGGAGCAACATTGACAAGATACAACAGGAAGCTAGCCATTTGATGAGCAAGTTGGATTGGAACGTGGCTATTGGCGAAATTGAACAGCTTATTGATAGCTTAAATAACCAAGGATACGAGTAAGATGATAAGAGAATAAAAAGACTGTAATGGCTAATAACTTTTTGTAGTCGTGTCGGAAGCATTGGTTTTTGCATGGGCGGTGGTTTGTCCTTTGCACTGGCTGCTGACGCTGCTAAACGTGGTAAACCTATCCAAGCTGCTGTTGGATGCTATGGCACGCCCCCTGATCACTTTGATCTTTCTCTTATCAAAGATACTGCTATCCAAGGCCACTTTGGAGGAAAGGTAAGCATAAATTTATGCATTTCTTTTTTTTTTTTCTAACCCATCTTATATTTGTGCATGACATTAGGATAAAATGGCAGGATTCAGTGACCCTGCTGCAGGTATATGCAATCCTTTATTCGATATCACCAATATATACTCATTACTTTTACTTTTAGCTGACGCTCTCGAGGCAAGGCTTAAGAACGCAAAGGAAGTGAACATTTACAGATATCCCGAACAAGGACACGCCTTCTTGAACGCCGATGCTTGGGGAGTAAACGTTCGTAAGGAGCTTGGTTTCCTTGAAAAAGACAAGGACGCCATCGTTGAAGAAAAAGATATACGTGATCAAGCTTGGGGTCGTATCTTCAACTTCTTCACAAAGCATTTATCTTCTGAATAAAAGAGTTGTCACGCTGATTTTGTGTGTTTTATCCCCCTTTTTTAAATTTTTTCCTCTCTCTTTTTTTCTTTTTTTTTTTTTATTGCAAACATGTCGACTGAAGAGATTCCCAAGAAAGCAGTTCGTGCTCTAAGAACAAGAATTCAAGTTGTCAGAGATCATTTGGAACCTCTCATGGCACGACCTTTGAATGAAACTTATTCAAAGCTATCAATGACAGAAAAATATGAACTACAAGTGCTGTTGTCTTATACCTTGAACACTTTATATTACAGTAACGATTCACATGTGATGTCTTTAGTTGTAGCTAATGGAGAACTTTGATCTAGTTTATTTAAGAGGAAATGGATCAGATCCTCAGAAACATGTTGTGTTGAAAGAATTGGTACAACAAGAGATCAAAATACATGAAAGAGATCTAATCAAATTTTGTTACTTAGCAACGAGTACAACGATACATTCAGAAGCTAAAGGAACATCAAGGAAAAGAACAAAAGCGTAAAGTATTTGTATTATACACACGACCTTTTATTAAAATGAATGTATTTAGCAAACATGAAAGTGGATAAGGACGCAGCTGGCCGGTTTGTTAAAGCAGCTCTAAGTGAAAATGAAGACAATAAGGGAAAGAAGAGAAGGACGGAGGAATTGATTGTGATAGAAAGCTCTTCAGATGATGAAAAAGAGTCAAAGATATCTACTAAAAAGAAGGCAAGACTTGTTATGGATCCATTTGCAGGTAAAAAAATATTTATATGTTATTGTTCTTTGTTCTAAGTGTTTCTTCTATGATGATGCGTGTATGATATAGGCTATGATAAAAAATAATAAAGTGTACATCTATTTACAACAAATTTCGTTCTGATCTTTTGTCAGCAAAAAAGTGCTTGCCCATTTCATAACTTGATATCATAATGGCACATGCAGGTGCTACCTTAACTACCCTAGGTACAGATCCTCTAAAGAAGCCTGCTATTCCGTCTCTGATGGCTATTTTTCTGATGATATATGTAAGCCTTGCTTCTGTATTTTGTTCAACAGTTAGTCCCTCTTTTGCAAATGATTACTTTTTCTTCTTTACCCGCTGCATATGCAGTGACTTGTCGTTGAGTCTTTACAACATCAAATGGTGTAGTGACAACAGCTGCAATCATACCAGACGAAGCACCTGCGATAAAAGAAGCTTGAAAATGAGATAAATTAGCCAAGGAAGGGGAGTGCTTCATCTCTTCATATCCCATCCAATAAATTGCTGAAAACGGTACATCTCTAAGCATCGTTGGCAATAATCCTCTCCACAGCGCTCTCGGTCCTTCTCTATGAACCATCTCTTGGACACCTTTCCACACTGCTGAAAAGCCTTGACTTCCTTCTGTTGATTGCATTCGTGTTCTGAATAATTCCAACGGTGAGACAACTAGTCCTGAAATTGCTATGGATAATAATATAGTCAGATATATTGTAGTAAAGGTGATGTGTCTCTTTGTTTACTTCTTGCCACTCCTCCTGCCCATAATGGTGAATAAGTATCAACAAGGTTATCTCTAAACTTTAATCTCGCATAGTCTCGCATATGATCATATCCAACATAATATATAGCAGTGGCCGGCAAAGCCATGATCAGTCCAGGCACTAAACCTCTCCATAAGGCAAACAATCCTTCATTTCTAAATATCTTTACCAATCCATCCTATCAAAAAGACCAGAGAGTTGGTTTTCGTTATCTACATGACTTTGTTTTTTATCCCATACTAAAGTTCCTTTATATTCATTTATTCCATTCTTTGAGCTTTCTTGTAGTCTTGTCTTTATAACGTCCAAGGGTGTCACTAAGAAAAGATTAATAAGGCATACACATATATACATAGTATAGATCTTACTGAAAGACATGGTAATGATCGCACCAGTAGCTGCAGACAGCATTTTCTCAATGGAACTATTGATCATTGGAAGTTGTTGTTCTTTAATCGTCGATTGCTCTGTCATTTTGCTCAATAGTTAAGCGTGATAGACGGGAAGGCGAGAGGAGGAGGACAATAAGAAAGATGACACATTATTTTCGTATTGTTGGTGTGCGCGGACAGAAAAGCATTCAAGCTTTTTTAATTTCCGATCAGTATATTTTTTCTTTATGGAATAACACATAAAGATAAGGACTGTTTTTTACCATCTGTATCGGACCGAACACGCGACGCATTGACACACATGTTTTATTGCCACTGCTGTACCTTGATCTCGATTTACTTTTTTTTCCTATTTTCTTATATTCATAATATTGCACCTTCAATAAGAACCTTTAGGTACATGCAAAAATAAGCACTTTCTTAAAAGTATTGCACTAGAATCTGTTCACTAACGCTTGATCTTACATTAGTACATGAACAATAATACCGTTGCCGCACTTACTACCAGCTGCTCATCCTGTCATGCACCTTTACCAGTTGACTCAGCTTACCGTACCTGCTAAACATGCAGAGAGCAAGTTGTAGCATCTCGACGCAGACGTCGAGCTGATCAAGAAGAACAGGAAGGCAGCCCAGTAAGACGTAGGGAAAGACCTAGAGTAGAACCTTCTCAGACTATTCCTGCTGCCTATATCTCGCAGCTTTCTCGCCTTCGTCCTTTGGGCCTTGGACGTATGAACAAGGAGTGTCCCCACTGTCACGCCCTACACTGGATCGATGAAAGGTAAGAGACATCTTCGATGAGAAATCCCAGCTGGGAGTCATGCTGCAGGCAAGGATCAGTCCAGTTGCAACTATTGCCTGATACATCTGAGTACTTGAAGGGCTTGCTCGAACGCACAGACACCCAAGGTCATCACTTTAAAGACAACCTTCGTCAACATAACGCTGCCTTTGCCTTTACTTCGTTGGGCTGCGATATTGTTTCGTCTGAGGATCGTGCCAACAACAACAACAGCAGCAGCAACAACAATAACAATAGAGGTGGATTAAATGCCTTTCAAATCCATGGCGCACTTTGCCACCGTCAAGGCCCCTTGACTCTAGTTGAAGGCAGTGAGCCTTCCTACGCCCAGCTGTATATCTTTGATCCATGCTATGCCGCTGAAAGAAGACAAGCACAAAACAACAACCTTGATCCTGAGATCGTTAGGGAGCTTTCGGTCATGCTTGCTCAATGTAACCCCTTTGCGCGTATATATCGCCATGCACACGAGATATTGAGCAACCATGAGAGCAGCAACACTGTCAGTGATGGTAATGATCAAAGAGAAGTTAATGCGCCATACATCAGTATCAGCCCATCAATGAGAATGCGCTTAATTGAAGGAAGCGACAGACGCACACACAACTTTCCAACAATGGAAGGGATTGCTGCTGTTATACCAATCGAATATAGTGACAGAAGTTTCCGTGATATTGTTCTTACCTTGAGAAGCAATAGCAGTCTTCGTCAAAACACTGGATCTGAGCAGCACTTTCAGAACATTATTCAGGCCCATGCTGCATACATGCCAAGTCATTATTTACATTTGTTTCTTCATGAAATAAAAAATTGCCTTGCATTATCCGAGAATAAAATAATTTGTAAACGAGAGTAATGAGTTGTTTTATCACTAGATAAAACAATAGACAACAACTTTACAATTCTGTCTAAGAGAACTACACAAGTAAGTAGATACTTAAAAGAAGGAAGACATTTTTCTGTTAAATTTGATATCATTTATGTATTGAACTTGAGAAGGAGAGAAAAGACAAAGGGCAAAATGAACATAGTATTGTAGATAAATAAAAAATGTCGTCAAACAGAAATTGTTGTTAAAATAAATCATGTCAAGACGCCTTTTACAATTACTGTTATTCTTTATCTCTTCTTTCATATTTTAAACAAAATGCGCGATCAAGTCCATAGTATTCTTAAAGCAATGTATGAGAGAAAAAAACAAATAGAAAATGAGAAACATCAAACCTCATCCAAAGGTAAAATAATGGAAGTCTTAATCATCTTTGACTTCATAAACATCATCCATGTATTATAGGTAAAGCCAAGAGAAAAAGGATGGGTCAAGCAGAGAAGATTGAGAACAAAAAAGAAAAGAAAAAGGCGAAATACGATCACAATGATGAGCAAGAAAAAGACGTTGTTTGTACAAGTTGCCACCAAAAAGGACACAAGAATGCAAAATCTTCCTTATGCCCAAATCGAAAGTTAACAAAACAAGAAGAACTTCAGCAGCTCATGGGGAATCGAAAGACAACAACAGTCAAAACAAAACTAGAAACTATTCTGCGTCCTGCCCATAGAAACATAAAAGAAAATAATCAAAGTGTCCAAAGATATTATGAACATTTTAGTTCGTGCCCAGCTCTTTGTGGATTACTATATCATGAGCCACAATGGACTTATTGTCGATAAGAAAGTCTTCACTCAGAACTTTTGGTATTCTATCAGTCAATTGGTATTGGACAAAACACCAACAAACAAAAAGTCTCTTCCAGACGACATTTTTAGCAGCTGGGGAAATTTTTCAAGTCGATACAAAGAAATAGTATATAGAATGGATAATCCCGTTGCCGGATATAGTCAATGCCTGACTGCTGCCTGTGTTGAAGTAGCGACATGCTATAATGATATGATTGTTGAATGTTTTCAATCAAGACTTATGTCACATTTGGTTCGTACAATCAAAGCGTCAGTGAAGCAGGTAATAAGCATCGATCATTTATATTGTATACTACTCACTCTTTACACTTATATACATAGTCAAGTAGCAAATATGCTTAAAAGCTTGCTGAATACAGCCACCAGTATATCTGTGATGGTAAAGCAGCATGGCCTGAGGATTTTACAGATATAACGATCGATGAAAGAACTGCCATAAATTCTCTCTGTAAAGATCTCTTGAGAATAGAAATACCTAAGCCAGTTACGGTCAAAAGCTTGGCTGCATCTCCGGGATCATATATACCAATGCTTAGAGAGATACTTAAGCGATATATGGCGGAAAATCAAAAACAGCAAGAAAACCAAGAACATGGCCAACAAGAAAAACCAAGTTATATGGCCCGGCTATTCTCCTTGTTCCCTGTGCCTTCCTTGAAATGGCGATCCGTATCAATTAACCTCAATACGCTGTCGTTCTTTGCTGGCAAGCCTAAACAAAGCAACTATGAAGATAAATTTAACATGTTCAATACTGTCTTTGACCTGTCAAGTTTGGGTGTGAACAGGTATTTATTAATGACCATATGTACATGCATATATCTATGGACTAATAGTTAATCATAATGAATATAGCTTTGAAGATTTAAAAAAG